CATAAATACATACAAGATGTTCTTTATTGCTAAAATGTTATCTGAACTGCCCTAACGATACTAAATAAAAATGCTTCACATTTTACACACTAACAAGATTAAATGTGATTTCTACAGACTGATGTTTTTTTTTACAGATATTCAAATGAAGCCCAAATATATTTTATCAACCATAATCATTCTAGCAGTAGTAAGACTAGCAAGTACAGGAACAGATGTAAGGGACATCTTGATACAAGATATATGTTGTAGTAGTAAAATACAAAATTTCTCAGTATTATAGGCTTGACAGAGCTTCATAGTTTGATGGATACTTAATTCTTTAAAACCTCAAGTCTACAAAATCCTGGCAATCAGATGTTTGAAAAACTCAATGGAATTATGGTTAGGATTTTAACGAATTGTGCATGCTATCATGATAAAATAGAATGGAAAAATATCGCTCCTTCCTGTGTTTTGAAAGATAGACAATTAGGCAATCATACTAACATGACAAATTAACAAGTGTGACAAATTATATCCATTAAACTACAAATAAAGACATCCTCTACATGTTTAAAACTGGGGACAAATAAATTCCTCAAAGTGCAATATCATGACTGAAGAAAAGGGTCATAATATTCATAGTGTGAGATTCATGTTAACATAAGTTACAAGAGGGTATCAACAGCTGAAGCTCCGAAACTGAACATGAAGAAAAAGAAGACTAGTGGGAGCTACGAACAACATAGCTACAATAAAAACCAGATCTACATTAAAATATTTGTAAAAAGTAGCTGCTAAAAATAGGAAGAGCACATTAGGCTATTGCATTAAATTTTATAAAATAATTTAAGAACACAATGTTTTATGTTGCCTTTGCCTAAACTAGACAACACAATTATCTACTAGTTTAATCAATTTCTATAATTCTGGTGTTAAGATGTATAGGATAATGAAGCAGATATTACATGTAACAGCTGCTTCTAGTCATAATGAGACTGTATATATCCAGTAAAGCAAAGTACAAGATAGATGTCTCTGCATAAATGGTTTTTATAACGAATATGGACCCATGGAACCTGCTGCAATATTCAACATTAGTTGTTAGGGGGGTTAATGTAGTACAGGGAATGTTTTACAAATAAAGGGAATTAACTATCACCAGGATACATTTTTCTGGTTTGGGCTTGAGCTGGTTGCTGTTTGTAACTGACTCAACATTCCAAAACATGTTCAAACACAATTTGCAAAATATATAAAACTAGAAGTTTTTACATATTTTTAACTATGTACCATAAATAAAAACTTTAAATTTTCATTATGGAATCTTCCACTTACAAATACAGTACTCCATATTTCTTAAAAAAAAAAAAAAAAAAAAAATTTATGGCCAAGTCTGATGATAAAAGTATAAAAACAAGACTACTATTTATAATTTCCTAAGCAAAGTATAAAATTACTAAGGCATTTGTAACACGTAATGCTAAATCATTCCTTACAATTAATGAAATATTTAAAGTTTCCCTTTTCCAGAAGTCAAGGGAGCCAAAAATTAGTTTAAGTATCTGTGTAGTAAAAGTAGAATTGTTAATTTTCTAACTTATTAAAATTTTTAAGGTTACTGAAAATAAAATTGAATACAATATTTGTTTAAATAAAGTACATTTATAATATAAACTTCATAACATGAACAGTTAAACTGAATTTACATACAGCATTTATTTATTTTTTTCCTTAGCAAATTTAGACTATTTACAGACATGGTCCTTACAACCTGAAATAAGAATATCCAGAGCATTCCAAAAATTCCATTCACCATTGATACTAACACCTATTAGATAAACACAGTAAATTGGCCTTTTCTACGACATTTCAGCACACGAGGTATACTCTCAACTTGTGAGGTATACTCATACAGAAGCCAACAATATTCATCTGTTACTTTTCTCAAGCTTCTACAAAACATTACAGTGTATGAAACTTAACGTGTGCTTCTTCACTTTAAGACAACAAAGACAATCTTCCTAAGCAATATCGTTGCGGACAATCTCCAAACCTTAAGGTACTGGAAATCTAATAAAAAATTCCAAAGATATTTGCCAAATTTTTTTTACAGAATGCTAATTAGATTACCTCACTGAAACAAGCAACTATAGAAATACATGTTGTCATGGCAATTACACAGAAGAAGGCTGTGTTATGAGGGAGAGAGAATCGGAACTTTGGAAAAAAAAAAAAAAAAGACAATAGCAATACTGTAAAGATCATATGGCGTATAAAGATAGAGGGGTATGAAAATATTCCAAACTGCTAATTTGGCAAAGTACTGCCAATTAGTAAAGTGAAAATTCCCCATTTTTTTCCTATGAGGAAACAAAACTAGTAATTAGGACATCAGTTATAACCTTCTTTAAGAGCACTGTCCCACATGTCAATGACTCATTGCTTTTCTTACCCACTCACTCACTCACTCACTCTCTCTCCCTCTCTCTCAAGTAAACTATTCAATGAACGTAACAATCTCAAGCAATCACAACGGGGTAATAATGCAGATTTTCCATATATGCAGAACTTTACCTTAACATAAAATTATTTTCCTTTCAGCAAGAGTATCGTTCAAGCAAAGGCAATAATGACATTTCCTCTATTATTATGAACTTAATGGCTTCATTTCTTTACAGAAGAATGTGCTTTCTGACCTATACGGCATCATCTGCCATCAAAATTATTGAAGTGCTGCACTCAAATATATGAGGATTATTATTGTGGACTTCATACTTGCATACTAAATTTATGGGATTATATACACCAAGAATATCCACAAGTATACTGGTACAGTACTTCAGAACTATCAAAATTGAGTCGAGAACTAATGAAGAACTCATTGTTTGTTTTGCACACTGCATTAATAAACAAAATCCTAGATATAAAAATAACCCTTAAAAATAATCATATCACTTTGGTAATACAACCATATGCTTTTTGTATAATGGATGGATAAAATGTCCTAGAGCCATTTTAATTTTAGCAACCTTGATCATTCCAACTCACTCGGGTATCATTGTACTATTTCAATAAAATTATTCAACAGCAACCAATGCTTTTTTACATTTACATTGGTATTGTATTAACAACAATAATTGGTTTTCATAACTAGCAGATACTATTATGCCACTCTCTAATATATGAGATGGCACTCTGCCAGAGAAACAAAATTAGCCAGCTTTATCCAGAGCTTCCATATAGTGCACTAAATTGCTTAAAAAAATAATAAATAAATAAAATATGAATGATGTCTAGTACCAAAGAATTAATACAAACATCTCAATGTTTGTGCACTACAACTTTCTCACATTTCTGAGAATTAGATCCATCTAAGTTACTTCCTATTATTCCAGAAGCCCTGATCCCATTTTTAAGCCCAAATTTATCAGGAAACTTCTTGAGTCATAAGGGTATCAAATATATAACACTAATTTAAATATGATAATTTACTGTATTGCACAAAATATCACCATTTTAATATTAAAGCTTTAGATCCTAGTTTATTTGAAGGCAACAAGTGCACATCTGTAACAAAAAAAAAGTAACATTACAGTACCTGCCTGAAAAACGTGTGAAAAATCTTATAATTTGGCAAATATACATTACTTTTTAACTTGTTTGACTGCAAATATAAACCGATATACCCAGTACTGTTTTGAGTTCTTTGGCAGATAAATTCACATATTTTGTGGGTCTGCCAAGACCCTAAAATTTAAGGTTCCAAGTAACTTTGGGAGCAGGAAAAATTAATATAATAGTAATCTTGAATTCCCCACCCTATGAAACTGGGAAATGTGGGTAATGATAATATATGCATGTAAATATTATTGAAGTTTAGTACATACAAAAAAAATCATCATAATGTGGTCACATTAAAAGTATGGCAGTCAAAGTAACCTGAAACCTTCTTTCAAATACCTAATTAAACTATTAAAATAACGTTTAATTACTATGATTCTGCAAATATTGGTTTCCATGTGTGTTATTAGGTCACACACAAAGACAACAAACTTTTTAACCTGCTGCCATATAGATTCTTTAGAGATTCTAGAATTTTAACTTCAGATCACTTTATAAGTGGAGAATATGACCTTTCATTGGATCACTTACGGAAAAAAATCAGTAAAAATTAATACTTACAATACAACAAAACTCAAACCTAAATATAATAAGGATTTGTGAACAATTCAAATTAATATTTCCATATGCTTATGAAATCCTTTTAAACATAGCTTTTAGATTTACATCCAATATTCCTCATAAATCAACCAACAAGTGTTTAGCTAATAACAGCCTAGGGCAATATTACATGCCATATCTTGATAAGAAAATTTTGGCACAAAACAAAACATGCATTTATACAAATATGGATGTGAACACAAAATCCTACAGAAGAAAAGTAACGAACACATTAAGTACCTAATGATAGTTGTACTGTTAGCTTCAATACTCAGCTGGGGATTACTTAAATTATATTCTAAGTTAAAACTAAACTTAATGTCAAAAGTTACTAGTACTAAGCAACATAATATTAAAGCTTAAAGAGAATCATTAATAAATGAATTTCCAAAATGTTTAAAATGCCAGAATGATGAAAGATTTCATCCTTCCAGCTCAGTGAGAATCTCAGACACTGGAACTGTTCTACTTCATAATGGGTGCAATTTGGTTTCAAAGTTAAACAGTGCTGCTGAGGTAAATACAGTAATGACAAACAATTCTCATGACAATCCTAGAATAAATATGCAAGATTTTATTATATAAAATTTAATGCAAAACAAAACTTGTATGGTATAAAAAAAAACTTAAACTTCAGCAAGTAAACATTAAATACTATACCATAATATGTTTCAATAAGTATTATGAAACAGCATATTTTAATATTTTTTTTAAAGGTCAAATAAGTCATTATGAGAGAAAAAATTAAATCCAGACACTGGCTACTCAGTATAAAACATTTACTCAGACAGTACTTTACTCTCCACAGAAGACAAGGATCTTGGCACTCTGCTACTTTTAATCATCTAATTCCTCCATACGACACCTTACAGCCATCTCCACTACTTCTAGACTTGTGTAGTCAAGTTCTTTGATCAGACATAACACGGCAGACAACAAATTGGCATTCTGAAACATTTAGAAAGATTTGGGCTATTAAATGTGTTTAGTGATTGCTTGCTGTGGATTACTTAACCTTAAAAAACTCGTGTTGAATGTAATGAAACGCCATTTTCTGGGCTAGCCTCAGAGGCTCCCTGGAGCTATCAGGCTAATGTAAGAATTATTAGACCGGGGCATTAGTCTATGGAGTTCAGCCTACCAGGAACCACGAGCCAGAACCTGGCCTCCTCAGACAGGGAGGCACAGAGAGAAATGACCCTAGAAAATCCCCTCTGTGGTTTTTTTTTCCTTATCTACCATCGACCAAGGTTAGGCACCCAGAAAGGTTGGCATATCAAAACAGATCCCACATGGCAAGAAAATTACAAACTAAAACTGAACACAGAGGTAGAACTCCCTCTAATTCCAAAGAAACAAGCAAACAAGGAAACATCAAACCGCTTGTCTGTGCAGCCCTCCCCCCCTCCCCTATCCAAGAGGGGAAGGGGGGAGCCCTGGAATCCCCCCCCCCCTTGTGCCAGCTACCTAGCACTTCAGTTCGGAAGCTAAGCATAAAAACAATGCAAAAAACTGCCGACCGGAGGGAGGGAGGGAGGGTACCAGTCTCCCTGGTACCCTCCCTGGTATTCTCCCTGGGTGAGCCCCTGGTTTCCAGGGCTCACCCAGAAAATGGCATTTCATTACATTCAATGCTGGTTTTCTGGGGGGAGCCCCTTCGACTTCTTGGAGCTACATAACCAAAGATAAGGAAAAGAGGGACTTACCCGGGAGGCGGCCACCACATTCCTCAACTTGAAGTCGAGACAACTGGCTACAACCTGCAACTCAAAGCCACACATGAACGCTCAGGAGCAGAATGTTAACCAAATATCGGGCAGCCAGGACTCTGTTTGACCTACAAATTCCCCGTGCCCAAATATCAGCTCAAGAAATGTTGCCAAACACGGCAGCCAAAGCAGCAAACTTCTTAACATCATGGGCACGAGGACAGAACGCAGGTTGGCTAGACGACCCTGCGTTCTTGGCCCTGCAGACTACCTGGGAGATCCAAGCCCAGGAACAGGGAATAAGGGAAACCGGAGCAACCCAAAGCGCATCCCTGGCCACAGACGCCAAGGTGCGCATGTAATAGCGAAGAGCCACAACAGGACACAACACATAATGCAACCCCCAGCCTGACCAACCAAGCATCAATGACCCAAGGACCTTCCGGAAAGCGGCCATCTCAATCTTCGCCATTAAAGACCATTGGTTCATTGCCCGAATCCCCGCGGTACAGGCAAAGAACCACCAGGGAACAGTCCGAATGGAGCTGGATGGTCGAACTCTTCGAAGCCACAGCCAAACCACAGCAAACTTCTGCACCGTGCTGTGAGCCCAACAGAAGGATTTGTCCCACCGCCCCTGGTGGGCCTGGCAGGCTTGGTGAGCACTGGTCACAAAGCCCCATCTGAGACACAACGCGTCCGTGAACACATCAGAACAGAACCGCAAAACAGTCCGTTTGAAAATAATTTTGTCAAATATTTTTGATAATATATCATAAGAATCTATGATGATATACATGATTCTAAGGGGAATTGACAAAGATAAAAACCAATGTTCAAGAGTAGGCACAGCAGAAAGAGGATAAATAAATGGAAACTAGAGGGAAAGGAACTATCAAGAAAGGTGCCAAGCCATTGCAACTAATAACAATGAAAACCAGAGAAATAGGCAAGTTGCATGGATTGCAGAAATAACTCTTTCAGAACTAAGAATTGTAAATAAGTATAATGAGTTAAAGGAAGAAGTGGTTGAAGTTAACTTGATAACAAAATGCAGGGTAAATATGTACTGTAGATTCAAATGAGAGAACTGGGTCATTGCAATAAACTATAAATTGTTTAGAAGATGGGATTAAAAGCTGATGCCCAACCCTGCAAGTATACACAAAAACATTACATATACACTTAATACTAAGTCCTGTGTGCTAGAAACTATTTCAAAGGATGGAACACATCACTGAAGAGAAATCTGCTCCTCATTTACTTAACTAACCTGCCACTGTCTGGAAGAATGTGGTGTTGCTCTGCTGAGTAAACACTGTTGTGGGTGAGGTGCAGCCATCGCCAGATGGCTGGCATAGGCAAGCAGGCGACCCATTGAGGAATAATTCCTCTAATGGTAAACTTGTAATGCCAGGAAGGCTTGTTAAGTCTAAGTTTGTGTTTTTTTTAGCCTTCTGGAGGTCATAAGCTCCACTGAGTATTCTGTGCTCTTAATATAAAAAAAATGCAGGGACTACTTTAACCCTTAAGCTGCTAAGAGGTCCTGAGGAGATTTACACCCCTGTGCTCAAGAAAAAAAAAATTTAATTTTTTTTTGTCTTCTAAAAATGTTAATTTGTGTTCCCTGAGCATGGGGAAAAAAAATCGTAGGTGACATATTTTGGGCGCAATAGGCCGAGGAAGTCTGGCAAAATGTGGGCGTTGACAGAGTGGTCGTCAGAGGCGGTCAGCGTCACCAGAGCTGACAGGTGGGAGTTGCCACAAAGATGATATTACCTAATTATTTCAATGTCTCTGATTTTTTTCTTAGTTTTTTGCAGTAATATTATTCAATAGTGTGTAGTGTGATAGATTTATATAATAAAATGTGTGAGTCATCGCTATACTCAAAAGTATGGTGCTCATATTAGTGATTCAATTATTACGTTCATAAAACAATAAACAAATAGTTTTGCAGTTATTACACTATATACACACATTATATTTAAGTACCTACATGTTTTGTTCACCACAACTGTACAATTAAGCTGATATAGTTAGTTCAGGTACTAAGAGACATCGCTACACTCACAGTCAGCTGGCGGCAGCCTCCCTCCCCTCATTCAAGGTCAGGCACACTAAATTTCTCCCCAACAATACTGTGTGGGGTGTTATTACACTATATACACACATTATATATAAGTATCTACATGTTGTATGCACCGTAACTGTACACCTAGGCTTGTAGAGTGCATAGTGGCCACCCTCTACACAGCTACACAAGTCATGCAGACGATGCGACCTTCATCACCCAAATGGCTCCTCCCAACTAATCCTTTTGCTGTTATTACACTAATACACACATTATATATAAGTATCTACATTTGTTTTCACCATAGAGAACCAGTGAGCTGGTATGGTGAATGCAGACAATAACAGGTGGCCACACAAGTCAGTAAATGATGGTATCTCCCTCCCTCCCACAGCATTACTACTCCCACACAGCATTAATTATCACAACAATCCTGCTATTATCACAATCCTGGTAATTTTTATCACAGTCAGGAATCATCTGTAATATTGTCATCTCTAAATAATAGCAGTTACATATTTACTTTGACATTTTTAGGCGATGCTGTAGTCACAAGCTGAACAGTTAGCTGCTGTTAACTCATGCTGCATGCACCAGCCTTGGTTGCTTCAACAGTACTGTGCCTCTCACACCGGAGAATATTGTCCACGATTTTTTTTAAACATGTTTATAAGAGCCCCGAGGAAGCTAATGTGAACCCCGTGTAGCCGCGGGCCATTTGAATCGTGCCTGGCACCCTATGGCGAATATATATATATGCCATGCACACCGTGGGACATGTTACTCATGGCGTATATATACGCCATGCGCAGTTTAAGGGTTAAACATTCCCTGCTGCGTTGATGTCTGAAAGTCTGCCCAATTGTTTCTAATCCCAGCCAACTAATACAGTGGATATTACCTTAAGAACAACCAAGTGTTAGAAAGGAGCTTTTCATAACAGCCATATTTTTGTATTATCAGCATAGTATATAAAAGATGACAAGGAATAAGAAATTGGTATGTACATCAGAAGCTGTCACATTGAAGGAATCCAGTCCACATTAATGCAAAGAAGGATTTCATTGTACAGATAATTCACATTCTTAATTATTTTATTAAAGCAATTTATCTGTCTTCACTGGTTAAGAACTTGTCAATATGCCTTCAACTGATCAGACTTGCAGAGGAGTGAAAATAACCTAAGTAAATTAATAATCATCAGTATAAAAAATTGAACACCAAACAAGAGCCCAGTCCCCCAAATGCTTACTTGCCAGGGGTCTTATAACATTAAGTAGCAACTAGATAAACCATCACCAAGTACAGTACATTCAACAAATTATTAAGGATTGGGCAGTCTGCACACTTGTTTAGGGTTACAAACAGTCACAGATCTTATGAAGAGTGAGAGATTACTTGCATCAAGTTATCATTATTTCATTATTAACTGTTGCTAAACTAAATTTTAGTGATACTGTATCACAAATACAACTTGTATGCTTTAAAACAGCAGATTATTACGGTTTTCACAACTTAACTTTACAAAAAGACATGACAAATTTACCTGTTAATTTAAACATTTAAGCAGTAAATAGTAGTAAAACTTACAATATTATATAACTGGATATTAGAGGGTTTTTGCAACTACTTCATGAAAGATTGATGATGATACTGTAATTAAAATACCTACAAGCTAAAGGACCATAATACTGACTTGACTAGGCTACAAACTAATCAGTTTTATTACACCAATACTGTAAACACAAAAATATCCAAAAATTTTCTTACCCGAGTCTTAGGCCTGGCTGGATAAGGCTTGGTAGGGGAAGACCGTTCCGAGGCCACAGCTCGTGTTATGGTATCTATCTGCTGTTCTGCGCGACGGTAGGCATTATCATAGTGCTGCTGTACCACAACACTGCTGTCAGCCTACAAAAACAGAGTCAGGTTAAGAAATTACAATTACTGTACCTGTATTTATTAAACACTGCTATCAGCTGACTGCACTTTAGTAATAATGACATACAACAAAACTCCCAATATCTAATGTCTAGATATTTCAGAAAACTCTTCAACAAATACTTTATGATGTAAAATAGAGCAATGAAAATATAATTTTAAGACCATCACCTATTCCTTTAAGCCTGTTAACAACATTTCTTCCCCAATTCAGATATAAACAAAACTTTACAAGACTGAATCAAGACTTCCACGCTGTTTTTAGCTTTTTATAACAATTGAATATTATCATGAACCCAATTCATCAAAACCTTCATCTCATCAAAACCTAAAATTTTATGAACATTATATCCTATGCGAACAAGCCTGAATGGTCCCCAGGACAATATGCAACTGAAAACTCACACCCCAGAAGTGACTCGAACCCATACTCCCAGGAGCAACGCAACTGGTATGTACAAGACGCCTTAATCCACTTGACCATCACGACCGGACATAATGAGGTGATAGCTGAGGCTATTTGAACCACCCCACCGCCGGCACTCGGATAGTAATCTTGGGCATAGCATTTTACCAAATCACCTCATTCTTTGGGGCACACGTGAGGAACACAAATGCGAACAAGCCTGAATGGTCCCCAGGACAATATGCAACTGAAAACTCCTATATCCTATACATATTTATGATTTCTATATAATCCTACATAATTCTTCCCTATACACTAAATTATTTACTGAACACACACTACCAATCTATATACAGTACCTAGACCAGGGGATGGCAAACCAATGGCACCCGAGCAAATTTTTCTGGTACATGGTGTGAGTGCTGCCTGCACGATTCTCTAAGCCACACCCATAATATACAAATACTGTATCATCATTCTGCTAAATGAAGGGGCGAATGATATTTTACAAACTAGGAACAGTATGCATGTTTACAGATGCCTCAACCCACCTTGGCACCAGCTGGGCAGTTGTGAGAACATGTGACATTGGAGGAAACATTCTGAACTCCTCACAGACCCAGTATACATGTCAGTATTTGGTTAATGATATAAGTAAAAGGTTGGGATTGGTTTCACTCTGCTCATGTTTTTCTTCAGTTGATTATGAGTTAATACTGGATGTTTAGTGATAACTTAATACGTAGCTTAGTGGCTCCAAGAATATTTGTTTTCTGCTGTAAATATTGTATTTTATGATTTATGTAGTAGCTGGATTTATGTAGTAGCTAATCACTACTACATTATTAAAATTATGTTATTTAGCAAAGTTACCATTTTCAGTGTTCAGAATGTCAGTTGAACCAGCTAAAAAAAAAGGGGGGTGGGGGAGGGGAGGTGACAGGGCAAAGCCAAGTTCCATAACTAATGTCCAGGACTGAAAGTGCCATCTTAATGGGACGGATCAGAGAATGGGGCTGTGAAGCCGGAGTTCTGCATCCCCATTGGGAACAGATGGCTCAATTGCTTGTGCCATCGAACTGTAGTAATTCGGGCAGAGAACACCAACACCCAGAAACAAACCAGGGACTAACTGCAGGGCATCCAAATGAGCAATAGGCCACAAATCTTGAACACAGGAAAACCACACCTGTCAAGCAGCAGCTGCACGCCAAGCTTCATAATGAGATATGCGAGAGAGAATGGAGACACTATATGTGCCTGTCATGCAGGATCCTTGGTCATTGGTGTCACTGACTTAACAGGCAGCATGGTGGAGGCAAAGAGAGAGAGTATGATTGCTGGACAACAGACTAATGAGCACCTGACAAACTTGCAAGCAGCAAGTAGGGACTCGACAGGTAGAACCATCACAAGCCATGCTGCAGACCTGCAGGGAAAATTGCCAGGCCTGAAGATGGCTAGTCAAGCAGGATACTGGGCCCTAGAGATGCTTGCTGAAAGAATGGACACTGAATGCAGCCTGTAAATGTGGTTAGGAAGGGTGTTTGCAGTGTGCTGTATTAAACAAGTGTGTGTGCGCACCTTACCACACCACACTTACAACCACATAAGTTGCCTCCAGTCAAGGGCCTACACAAAGGAGTCAACGACTCATGCACCACCCAAGGTGAGACTTCCTCCTCCCGGTGAAGAAGGTACCAAAAGAGAACAATGCACAAATAAACGGCCCACGCAGAACTAAGTCTGAAGGATAGCCAGCAATTGGCTTAGAAGTAGTGGGACCCACTGAAGATTGACCTGGGAAGAACACTGCAAGCATCCACATTAGTGACAGGACTGAGAGATGGAGCAAGTGTGGGGTAGGAGCTCCAGGCAGCCTGGTGATGGCTATTGGTACAAATGGATTGATGCTTGTTAGAGCGATTTACTTATTTTTCCCAAATGATTTGCAGAGTTATTTGGCCATTTTGGTGCTTTGTTTCCTGTGAACCTTTCATTTGTCTGCAAACTGCACCGACTCTGGTTGCTTTCCTGGTGAAGTATCGATAATAGTCACCAACTCCTTGTACCTCTGTGAAGAGGGGCCAGGTTCTGGCTGTGGTCTCCATTGAGTCAAACAGGACTCCTAAGACTGATGTGACCCAGCAGTGGGGAGTCGGTGAGAGCTTCAGGGAGTTGAAAAGGGCTCCCCAAGAAATACACACATATATATGCACATTAAAGATATTGAGAAATTTGTAACTCAAGTCAATGCTGTGTGGGGTACCTCATGTTAAAATGACTGACTTTTTAATTAAGAATTGCCAAAAAAACTACAGTCTCGAGTTGCAGGCAGAACTAGATTTGTTGAGTCTAGTGCAGTTTCTCAAGGGAAAAAGAATGTCAAACTACAAAACATTCGCAGTTTCCTCTATTGGTATACCGTACTTATGTTACCCCAATTACTGCTGGATGCACACAGGCAAACAGGAAAAGCAAAGTGCCCAGTTGTCCCACCCTACCAACGAATTGAACCCACACTGTCTTGCTTCTGAAGCACGTGCTAACCATACCACAGATATTATTGAGAAACTTACTACAATGCCATAGTGCTTGAATGAAGGTGAAGGAAAGATCCAATACATGTTTAAGTGTGGGGTAGAAACCAAAGAATCCAAGACAAAGAAGCCACTGCTCTGCTGGAGGCAGCAACAACCCCCAGTGATCATGCATGCCTCACAGCTGTGCAGGCTCCCCATGCAGGAAACTTCCTTTTGGCAGTCCCTATGCCTGCGACAGGCACACGTCTTGATCCGCAGGAACTCCGTATTGCAGTTGCTCTCCGCTTTGCTGTCCCTATCCACAATGTTCATAGGTGTATTTGCGGTGAGGCAGATGCTGACGAATATGGATTGCATGGCCTGCACTGTAGAAAATCAGGAGGTTAAGCCTTGAGAGAAGCCTTGCCTCTGCCCAGTGTCCAGCAGAGAGTGAGTCCCGCAATCTATTGAACCGTGACTCTGTTATCTTTGCCGGCCGACCAGACGGAATCACACTGCGCCCTTGGAAGGGTGGCAGACAGTTGGCATGGGACTATACTTGCGTATCCACCCTGGCAACCACATACATCAACCTCTCTGCCATTCAAGCAGGAGCCGCGGCGACACACTGAGAAAGATGCAAGTCAACCAAGTGCAGGGAATTAAATCACCGGTACAACTTCGTTCCAATAGGATCTGAGACCCTAGGCCCATGGGGAGAGAACGCAAGAAGGTTTCTTATGGATCTTGGTTCCAGGCTCAATGACACTACAAGAGACCCGTAGAACGGCAGTTTTCTCTTCCAGCACCTCAATGTCGCGATCCGGTGGGGAAATGCCCGCTGCGTCCTTGGTTCCTGCCCAACGTCGGAGGAGTTCGAAGAAATCTACAGCCTCTAGGGAACAAACTTCCTCTATGTCCTCTTAATGTTCATTTTTTTGTAAACAATCATACATGTAACTGTATAACCTTGTATAATAATGTGTAAGTGTATTAAAACCAAATTTTCAGACGAAACATGTTTTGGGTCTTTCCTCTATCTTTGTATATATTATTTGAATCAAAAGTCTGCATCAAAATCTGGTTGATACTACAAGCAGGTTTTAACTTTACATCTGTGAAATCTCGCTGAACCTGTGCCTAAAACAATGCACATATAGATGTACATAATATCCTAATATTACATATTAAGTGCTGTTAAAGATTTGCTACAACATAAGAGTATTCCTAAACTAAAGGATATTGTTAAATGAGACAGAAACTTCTTACTTACTGGTACTCTATTTGGAGCTTGCTGAGTGAAACGAGGATCCTGTTGAGGTGCCGTTCTCTGCTCAAAGCTTCCTGGACTTCGCTGAGTTTCATATGGTGGAGCAGCATATCCATAGCCATCACCTCGGCTGTAAGCGCGCTCTCTTTCCTCGGTATCACACTAAAAAATATAACTGGCATATAATATGCAATTATCTAATTATCCCGTACCCTTATCAGTCCTCTTTATGTCTAATATTCCTCGATTCAGGACTGCTTTTAGCTTCAATGCACTAAATTATTTCTCTGCACTACATAGTTGGTACATGCTTGTCTATCAAACACACTACTCACACTGCTCCCCAAAGAATCTCAACACATTTGACTTTCAGGATAAAATTAAAATTTTACATAGTAAATTTTTCTGCTGAAAGTGTCCCTCCTGGTAATTACAATACTACCGATATTAGTCCACACACAGTTGAATTGTTATTGGTAGAAATGTTTGAAATATTATTATAATAGTTTGTAATAAATTGGAATATTATCCAACTCACCACAGAGTGCTGCAAAAAATTAATTAATCCATAGATACATTAACCACAATTGAGATTTTTTTTTGCAATGCCAATAAAAGCACAGTACCAGACAATTAAAAGTGTAAAAGTAAGGCCAAAATTACTTCAGAAAATGCCTTTCACAAGTTATTTTGCACTAGTTATAATATGTAATAAATCTTAAGAGATACTTACCCAGCGAGGATCACGCTGTTCCTGGGTAGCACGGCGACTATATGATTGGGGAAAAAGGAAATACTACTGTTAGATTAAATATTAATAGTAATAACTTCAAACTTATTTATTTCTACTTACTCTTATCATAGATGTTTAATGTTAAACAATAATAATTGCAGTATAAATAGAACATGTGTTACCATTGATAAAATACTGTACCAAGACCTAGTGTGATTTACTTGCAATAAACTTTTCAACCATTATACAAATTAAGCTTTACCATGTTCAAGAATTTGGGTACATTTCCAAACCCCTTGCAACTTTACATCTATCATGCCAAAATACAAAGTGGCCAAGACAGGAAATAATCAGTTTAAAAAATACTACCAGTACAGTATATACAAATCAATTAGAACCAGTAAGAAACGACTGTAATATTATTAACATCATTTTATCAAACACCTGAAGGGATAAATCAGAGGAACCTCAGTACTCAAACAGGTTCCAGCTCAAACAATTTGGCACTCAAATGCAGTGTTCACGCTCGGTAGTTGACCGTTTGCTCAAGACTCAAGCACATGTAATGGACTAGTCAGTTTCCTAGTAGCTGTTGTTTAGTGCATACCCCACTAAATGTCTCTGTAAGCTTCTCAAGTTTTCTAATATGTATTTTATATTCTTAGCATAAACAAGTCACAATGATGCCAAAGAAAGTCAGTGATAAGAGCCCAAATGAAAAGAAAATTAGTTAGAACCATGATAGAGAAGAAAAAAGAATTCATAGCAAAATATGAAAATGGTGGTCTTGCTGCAGAGTTTGGTATGCCTAAATTGGATACGTTTCTTGTAAGAAAAGTATCTAGTGAGTCAAGAGAAATAGAAAGACAGAAAAGAGAAAGAGCCCCAGAAACATAATTACTTGAAGTTTTTATGGTAGGGGAGGACTCTTGCCAAACAATAACATCTTCCACATACACCAACTCTCTTAAGTGCAGGTAAAGTGCGAATATATGAGAAAAATGCAGAATGTATTTACATTTACAGGTATTTCATTTATTTATTGTATTCATGTGTATTTTTTGTGGTCTGGAATGGATTAATCCAATTTACATTATTCCTTATGGGAAAAATTATTCAACACTTAAACGGCCTTCTGGAACCATTTAAGTTTGAGTACCGAGGTTCCACTGAATTACCCTTGATATTACCTAAAGCACCTGCAGTGTTCATCAATCAAGTTATGACAGATTAGAGAAATATCAATTTATATATATGCATAAATCACTTTAAATCACAAACCATGATGTCCCATTAATGGGTAACACAAAATCCTTGCAAGCATTGGGATGCAGCTATTACCATTGTCCATAATCCATATAATCCAAGTGTAAACGCAAGTACGACACTTTACAAATTACTGTACAATGTGTATTATAAAATACTATACTAACATTAAAAAAAATACAGATAACAGCCAAAAGTAAACCTTACTATGTCACTTGTTAATATTTGTCATTACACAAAGAAATTTGAAGTTCACGTATTAATAAAATATATAAAACTTAAAAATATTAAAATAAGACAAACTATTTTACAAGTATTATTGTCAGACGGCAATAAGTAAACTAAATACAGTACTGTATAAACAAAATTACAAAAAAGATATAAAAATGTTTCTAAACCACGAGTCAATGTATGTAATTACCTAAATGTAGTTACAAGATGAGAGCGATGCTCGTGGTGTCCCATCTTCCCTGTCAACCCATCCTTCTGTTTAGGTAGTATCTATTGTGACGATTGTATCAATCTTAGTTGCATTTGTGACGATTCATAGTCATGAATTTGTATGTACTTAGTTTTTAGATGTACAGTAATAGTATACTGACTAGTAAGGATTTTTTTAAATAAAGGAAGCTAAAAAACAAACTTAAATATTCCTAGACCTTGTATAGCACACACACGTACTATATTAGGCCTAGGAAGGTTAGGTTATGTTAGTTTAGTTTGTCTTTACAACAAATAAAAAATAGTTTTCCGGTTTGTCCAACTCAACAGTACCGATTTCTACTTTCTAATTTCATTGTTCGTCGGCATACAGTACTATGGTCCTCATTGTTACTACAAGTATGTACTACCAAAACAGGATGATGGGCTGTTCCAGTACTCTGTCATATGATACTTTGAAACGTGTTTTGGTTTTGAAACTTGGTTTCAAGTTTTGGCATCCATCAAGTTATGACAACTTGTTCTAACTTGTTTACTGTTTGCAAAGGAGAATTTAAAAAAAAATTCTGCACCTTTGACTCCTTAGCTTGAATCTATGACCTCTTGTTCGTGCGCGCATGCATGTGCGTGTGTGTGTGCGTGAGTGTGTATGTGATTACTGAAGTGTAGTTACAGGATGAGAGCTATGCTCGTGCTGTCCCGTCTTCCCAGTACTGTACTCTGTCATATAATGTTTTGAAACTACTGACTGTTTTGGCCTCCACCATCACCTCACCTAACTTGTTCCAACCGTCTGCCACTCTTTGTGAAAGTGAACTTCCTAATGCTTTTTAGGCAGCTTTCTTTCCTTAGTTTGAACCTATGTCCTCTTGTACTTGAAGTTGCAGTTTTCAAAAAATCATCTTTGTCAATGTGTGTGTTACTATTTGGTATTTAGTGATTATATCACCATTTTCTTTCTTCTATCTTCTTGTTTTTGTATTTGTAATGCCTCTAATCTCTCCTTGTAGCTCTTGTTTTTCAGTTCTTGGAGCCATCTGGTTGCATGATTTTGAATTTTTCCCAATTTATTGACGATTGAATTTGCCATCGAGATATGGGCACCATATAACCACTGCATATTCCAATGTTGGTCACACAAAGGTCACAAGAAATTTGTTAATATTTTGCCATCCATGTACAGTATTTAAGCGATTCTACAGTTGGAAAGCGTAGCATACACTCCTCGCACAATGTTCTTTATATGATATTCAGGTAACAGTTTTATCCAGAATCATTCCTAGATTTCTTTACCAGAATTCTTTGAAGCATTTTCACATTTGTAGGTTGTATATGGCTTAATATCTATTTCACATTCCATAACTTGGCATTTATTCACATAAAATCCCATTTGTCAAGTGTTTGTCCACACACTTTGTCCAGGTCTTGAAGGGCGTGACAGTTGTCCAAATTTCAATATCTTCCCTAGAAGCTTGGCATCATCAGCTAACACGTTCATATAAATCTGTATTGCTTTTAGTAGATCATTTATAGAGAGAATGAACATTACTGGTGCTAGATATGAACTCGGTACTTCACTTGTAACACGTCTCCAGTCTAATACATTGCCTCCGATTACTGCTCTTATTTTTCTGTCAGAACATTTTTCATCCATGTCAGAAGTCTTCCTGTCACTCCTCCAGCATGTTTGTTTCCAGAACAACCTCTTATGATATACCCTATTCAAAGCCTTTTTTTAAGGACAAGATAAATGCAGTCAAACTAATCTACTCTTTCCTGTAAATTATCTATGTGGCTTTATCATAGAAACTAAGTAAATTTGTTACACAGGATCTTCCAGTTTAAAAACACTATGGTTTATCATTATTATTTCTCTCCAGGTGTTCTGCCTTTTCAGTTTTAATTCATTTTTTCTAGTGTTTTGATTACCACATTTATCAGTGATACAGGTCTATAACCAAAGGGTCTTCCTTACTACCATCTGATGTCGTTTTCAAAATATCTGCCAAGACTCCTGGACACAAAGATGACTGAAAAATTATTTGAAGTGGGGTGCTCTGCTCAGATGGGCACTCTCTCAGAACCCGAGGTGAAACTCAGGCCTGAGCCCACTTCCTTGTTTCTACACCAAGCTCCATGAGCATTTTTTCCCCATTTCTTCTCAAGACACCTCTATGTTATTCTCCGAAATTCGTATCGAGTCTGGTTCTCTGAAAACTTCATTTTGCACAACAACTCTTTGGAACTGTTCATTTAGTCTTTCACACATTTCCGTTTCATTCTTAATGAACCTGTTCCCCATTTTTCAACCTCTGGATTTTATCCTTTACTTGCAATTTACTTTTAAAAAATTTATAGAATAGGCCTGGTTTGGTTTTACTTTTATCTGCAAATCCCTTTCTCAAAGTTCGTTTTTGACCTTCTCACGGCTGTGTAGTTTGCTTTGCTTTGCTTTGATGTCCAAAGAGCTTGGAAAGGATGTGGGAGGAAGAAGGATGGGGCGATGAAATTCTTGGAAGAGGATTTGGATGTGGAGAGAGGAGGCTTGAAAGTTCGGTGGCCCGTCCACCTTGGATTGGAGATGTTTTTTCAGTCAAAGCCTGTAGCTTAAGTTCTTCTTGGGCGGCAGGAGGCTAGTGGTGGGGCAGGGTGATGCCGTCCTGGTTCACTTGAGGTGGTCTGTCTGGCTTGGAGGAGGCGTCTTCCTTATTGAGATGGTGAGAGGTAAGTTCACTGTTGCTTGGTGGTGTCTCGGCCAGGAGGTATTCGCATGTACTTCCCGAATGTTAGCGGTGGTATTGGTATTCCTGTCGGGTCTTCATCTTCTTCCAGGAAGGTCACTTGTCCCCTCTTGAAGTCGAATTTAGGGTCGATGTATGCACTCTCCAGAGCGCAGAGGTCTACATAGCGTTCCACGGTCTCGTGGTGGACAAACACAGGGTAAGGAATGGTTTTCCTGAGCTGGTTCATGATCCTGTTGCATTCTAAGGCAATGACCATTCTTGTGCTTCGATTGCCGTTGAAATTGCCACCGTGATTGAGGTAAAGTCCATAGCAGGGCACTTTCTTGCTTGATTTGCTTGGGTTTAGGTCGAAGTCTGGGGCCTCATATGTGAAGGTCTCAGCCAGGGCTTCTTGGAACTCTGCATCTGAATCTGATTCTGTTTCCACTTGCTGACATTTTGGTCTCCTTTTTGCTCTCATTTTCTTCCGTCTCGGGCTGGTGGGGGCAGGTGATGAGGTTGACTGGTCTGCTGTGGTGGTAGTCTGGGTGGATGCTGTTGCCTGGGTGACTTGTGCTGGGTTCGACTCCGGTGGTGGTGGTTGCGGTATGACTACGGTTACTGTTGATGTTGGAATTTCGTCTGTTTGGGTTGAAGCAGCGTTGTGATGTTGAAATAGGTCTGCTGGTATCAACATTGTAGGCAGGTTGTTCTGGGCGAGCAGCCTGTTCAGTACTCTCACGTATTTTGCGTTGTCTGTTCCCGCCTCTCTCTCAGCTACACTGATCAGGCATGGGATGAGAGTGGTGTTGGTCGAGGCCGCTGATTGGTTGACAGTCAAGTTGGTTGGCTGAGCTGCAGTCGCCTGTGTCCTGGGTCCCCATTGGGGGGTGGTCTGGCCTGGTGTGGACGTCTGTGTAGCAGGAGCAGAAGCGTTGGGAAGCACTGGAAACGATGTAGCTTGGATATTGAAGCTCGCCGGCTGATTGGTTGTTGGGTTGGCAGTTGCTGTTTTATTTATTTCGTCTAGTCGTACTTGGCAGTCCATGGAGACGGCGATGTGAGCTCCTCCACAATTGAGGCACAGTTTGGTGGTTGACCGGCAGGTTTTGAAGTGATGATCCTGGGTACAAATGCTGCATTTAACCTCTGCTTGTTGGCAGTTCTTGGTATCATGATCGTACTTGTAGCACTTAAAGCACTGGCGAATGTTGTAGTACCGTTCCTTCTTTGCAGTGTCAGGTGTGATGGAAATATCCAGACATCTAAATCCATTTTCCACAGCTTGGGTCGCTGCAGCAGCTGTTGTGAAGGTGACCTTGAGAGTAGGCCTAGGGTTGTCGTTGTTCTTGATGACCTTGACTGTAGCAGCAGTCAGAGCCGGGTTTCTGGTGTTGATACTATCAAGTATGGTACCAGGGTCTTGGGTGGCGATGTAGACACTTGTGTGGCTGACGAAGATGGTTCGTTCAGCCAAGTAGCGACGGTTAGGAGTGATGATCAGGTTGGCGTTTCGTAGGGCGTCCTGGTGTTCTGGTGCAAACAGTTGCTCCAGAGCTTGCTCGCTTGAATAAAGAAGTACAGCGCCGTCAGCATCGTCACGGATGTCCAACGGGGCTGCATTCGTGATGTCAACGATTTTCCTTAGTAATTGGGGTCCGGTGTAAGTGGTTTCGTCACGAAACCGGACCTTTATGCGGTAAATCATGGCTCTACGTTGCTGCCTAATATTTACCCACCCGGCAGTGCTGGGTGCAGAGAGCCTGATCTAGGTTTTCGGTCTGATGTTCCTTTATCTTTTTCTTTATGTAGTAGTTTCCCTCTTGTTTGTATTGCTGGTATATTTAAGGGTTACGCCTCTTCCTATACTAATTCCATGCATTTGCCTTTTATTCTCTGGCCCTTTCACAATTTATGTTGAACCAATTCTGCTTTCTAGTTCTGCATCTCTGTCTTGGTATATATTTTGTTGTCTTTGAACACTGTTCAACACTTTCAACACTGTTTAACCAAGCCAATGATGTATTGGTAATTATTGCATCTTCTGCATTGTTATTTGCCTTTTTTATTAACAAGATGTCTTACTGGAGCAATTATAGTGCTGAAGATTGCAATAAAAATGAAAGTACAGTACATTTCAAATGGACTGAAAATTGACGACACGAGCATGGGTAAGTAGACTTCCAGTGTGATGAGGCACCCAGCGTGACAAAGCAAGTCCCATCCTGCATCAGGGAGACTTCCTTGGAATCGACGGGTTGAACAAAATCCCTTATGGTACAAATCAGCTTCACCCCATATATTGTAATCTGTTAAAGCAGGATATTAAAGACATTCAACAACAGTTAAGAATAAAAACCAACATCCAAAGTATTCAATAAAATCTGTAAATAATGTAAATGAAATACACAATGTATAAATAAAGGGAAATGCAACAGCTTTTGCTGCCATCATAAAAGATAGTTGAGCTCATTTATGCTCAACAATCATGCAGTCACTGATGCCATGCACATACTGGTGGGTGTGCGTGTGTCGAGCCAGTCATCATGCACTTTCCAGCGTGTACTCACTGAAGGGGGCATAGTGGGTTGTTGTTAGTGGTATTGCTGTCATTATTATCAGGGGTGAGGGGAGAGTTGTTAGTGCCGTTGGTATACCTGGGAGCCGTGTCTTCCCGGCTCAGGTAGTTTGCATTGCGTGAGTCGTACTCATAATCAGCATTGTGAGTGCATGAAGATTCAGGAGAGCGTATATACCCGCGAGTATCTGCAGAAGTGTCAGCTTCGGTGGCAATTTGACTACTACGACGAGTGGGGCTCTGAAATATGTACAAAAATAATAACACTTAAATATTGTACTGTATGAATTCAAATAAAATTGTAACATACAAAATATATGTAAAGGTCAGCCAAATATTTTATCCATTCACATGAACCAAATCTATACTTTAAACTATGTACAGTAAACCTTACCCGTCATCACGGTCCTACTCATCTTGACTTAAGTTCCACACTACAATTGAACTAATTCTACAATTTTCTAAGCCTTTGGTCTTGTGGAAAAAAAAGCAAAATTAACCTCAATCAGCTCAAACCCAGCCTGCCCAATAACAATGCTCCGCCCACATAGCATGCACTCCTTTACATGACTATACCTACATTCTCAACCTGTTATCTTCTTGAAGCAATCCTTCACCATGTTATTACCCACCACCTTACTTTTCTAATATTACTTTAGCCCCAGGCATGCCAATCACATTCTTATCTTACATATGTCAGACACTTAAATACTGTCAAATTCATAACTCAAAATACGAGACAAAAGAACTAGTCACACCAAAAACACATTTATCATTCGATACCATACAATGAAAATACCTGCAACGTTTAAAAACAAATCACAACAATAACTCTTTAGGTTGGTTGATTGGAACATTTTGTGTGACATTAATAAACTCTCTCACACATTTCAAAAGGCACAACTAGTTGACAGCAAGCTAGAAAAACACAACACTACTCATTATTTAATCAACTGTACATACACAATTTACATGATCTTATATATAGGACATCACAAATCACATTATCATAGTGAGAGCATGATCTTGAAGCAGACTGGAGAAGACAAAGACCTGGAGTAACAGCCTAGTCAATGAAATGTGCTAAGCAAGTAGGAGTTGCAGTCAACACAAAATCCCAGAAGTGTCAACTCTCATGCCAAGAAAAGACAAGTTTTGAGGTTAACAATTCCGCAACAATACTGTAATGATGCTCTGCTCAAAAGCTTTAAAATACTGTATTGAAATTAAACAGTGTTATACACTGTATAATTTATAAAGTTCAACGTGACTCGCATAAGAGGCATCACCTTCAAGCTTAACAAGTCAATATTTTTGACATACAACAGATGATTTTTCACATGTAGGTAATAAAGCAATGTAATTTATCTGCTGAAACCCTAAATACCAAAAGTGCTACAGTGCAAAATACAACCAAATAAAAAAATATTCAGGAATGATAGGGGTAAGATTTTCTACAAGCCACGAGGATCTCTCTAATTTTGTACAGTAATTACATAATTAATGTTCTCGTTTACATCTCGATAAACAAGAATCACTACATTTCAGCCATTAATCACATCAACACTCCACAAAACCAGGTGCACAGTGTTCTTCGTGAATTATTGTATCGAGTACTGTACATGCAAATATGCTCACACTCTTACACAATATCTATCCAGCCTTTTCCTTTACTAGATTCCTTGTGCTAACCAAACTCGCTCCCTTTTCCTCACATACTTGCCATTTCAGCCCATCACCTTCCTATCCTAATCCTACCCTTAAGTTTATTCTCTTCACCAGTCTACCATCCTTCATTTGTTAAGCATGTCGACTCCATCTCGACAGGCTTTTTACAACCATTCAACTTATTGACTTTCGAACACCACATCTTGACATGACATTTGTATTTCATACTATCTATTGCAACACCACAGTTTTTTCCAGCTACATCTATTCCTATCATTATTTTCTAACTAGGGCTTCATTGCACTTGCCACTTTCACAACTTTCCTAAATCTTAAATTAGCACAAAGACCTCTTGAAAACCACACATTCTGGGTTTTTAAACTGACATCACTTTCTACAAAAAAAGGATCCTCATTTGCAGACTTCAAATTTGACATATCCTATTACAGTATTCATATTAGGCCTAATCACTAGATTTACATGATTACCTTCAACATTCCATGTACAATTTATATTAAAAAATCAAGTAGGCACCACACAATTTTGGCGTGCATCTGGTCTATCAATGTTTACACATATAGTACGTCCTAAACAAAATATTCACTGCAGTATGCTGTACAATATATATAATTTTGAATCTCAAAATTAGCCAGGAAAAAACTACATTGCCCATTAATAATCTTGTTCCGAGGAAATTTGAGCCAATTATTATTTAGAGTAACTAATGTATGAAGATATAACCAAATGGAATTACAGTAACTTATACTAGAGTTACACAGCAGCCTGATTACGTGGGACACACACACACACACACACAGATAAAGAAAGAACACAGTGTTGAGAACAATGTAGAGAAATGCCTAATTGAGATTAGATTTTATTGTCACTTTACCTGTAAGGGTTTTACAAGTCTTTACAGGCATAATGTTACCTTCAATAAAGTCCTTTCACCTTTATATTTCTCTGCATACATAACACACTAAACCAGAAAAGGGATGAATGTTAATAGACAAGAGATAAAATATGTGATTATTGATAAATATTTTAACACATTTGCAAACATTTCATTAGATAAATATGACAAATACAGAAGCACAGTTTTGAAATACAGGCCAACATTTACTCGCTTCACATACACATGACCATTGCTAGAGATTTAATCGAGATACAGCCAGGGTGGAAACCTGCACATGTAACTTGCAGGCCATGGGAAGAGACAGAAAGGCTGGTGTAACCTTCCTGTTTCCGAAGTTTAGAAAGCTCTGAGCCTTCCAGGTATGCAGACAAGAATTCATTTTTGTCTCTGTAACAAAGGTTTTTCTCCAATTTTTTCCCCTTGTTCATATTTATCCTTCAAAAAAAAACTCAGTTAGGTGGGTTTCCCGATATCATACTTCCTCCACACAGTCTATACCAACTCCCATAACTGAAATACTGTCCTGTAGTCTGATAATAAACCAGAAAATAGTAAGATACTACTCAATAAGGACAGTTTATTCAACTCTCAACAAAACGATAACTTAATGAAATTTTGCCTAAGCACAATGATGTGGTTATATGCTCAAGAGATCATGTAAACAACACACTGGTCAGCAAAGAGTGTAGCAGTAAGGGAAATAACACACGTTCTGAATACATAAATACAAGTGTATACAAAATGTATGTTTGTAATTTCAGATTAACCATTACATTTGAACCGAAACAAATTATACTGTATTGATAATGACATAAGCAAGAGAATAAGACATTCTTTTTAGGAAAGAATATAACATCCATGCCTAAAAAAAAAAAAATTACTAATTTAATAAGTTCAACCAACTTTAAAAAAAAAATACCTTTTACTCTAGCACAAAATTAGATTATACTTAGGTGTCATATTCTTTTTGTAAAAGAATTAGTTACAAGCCATTTCAAAATTTCAAGTGTTGTAAGAGGGTTTGACACCACCACCACTCATACTGTTATACTTTTGTACTGTATACTGTATTTCACACATTGATACACTGGGTTTGTTATGCGGTCAATAGCTCATAAATGAAACATGCACAATCCTCAGGAAACATTACAAAACACTTCTGGATTAATTTGCAACACCCGAATGTTTTAACTCAAACGTTGAAGATGATGTGTAACATTTGTCAAGTATTTCATAGCAATACACAACAAGACAGTAAAGGCATTAATATGTTACTTCAGAGAGGCATTTTTCTTGGCCAAGCCCTAATGATTTTAATGTATAATGATGCATGGGAAGAATTACGATTTTATCCCATATTGATTGTCCAGATAGGTATGGATTAGCAAGGAAACCCTCAAACAGTTGAGATTTGCTGTTCCAATACAGTACACAATACCTAATAATATTTAAAATATTTTTCTAAATACTGTATATTAAAAGCTATTTTACAATGTGATTTTGGAATTAAATGTACATTGTATCACTTGCAATAATAACAATAATCATAATACTGTAATAATAATAATTAACATTGGACACAAAGAAACTGGAAAGTGTCACTGTAACAGATGGCCCAAAAATCAAATGATCAATTTAAGTAAGATGCCCTGTAAACAAGAAAATACCAGACTTATTCTCAAAACAAAGCATATTCAACTACTGCAATACTAAAGATAAAATGCCTTTTTCCGAATTAAAATCTTTAAGCCTTGGTCTACTGCCCTTGCAAACTGTTGACACACTCATCCACAAATTAAAATAAAGATTCAATGCAGAAAGCCAAAGAATGTTAATAAGCCTGACACAAATGACCTCAGATTGTAACAAGAAGAGATGAAATGCAGGGCCACCACCACTAAAGCAACTTGAAGGCAGTGAGGTGTCTATAGATGCATTGGTAAAAATGCCCGACCTGTGTGGAGGAATACGATTCTCGACGCAGTCTCTCGGCACTGTCTGGATCTGCTCGGTAGTAAACACCATTCGAGTTACTGCTGGAGCTGCTGTATCCACTTGATGCCTGTTATTCACATTATTGTTTGGTAACTAATTACTAAAAAATTTTGTTTATAAGCAGTAATGAATAACAAATAACCAACACAAAGTTATAAGCATTAAAATACTATAAATAGGAATTAGGGAGGAGTTTGAATCACCAATATAAGTTAGAATATGCTTAAGAATTCAGAGGATCAAAATACCATAATTAACTGCACATACTGACTTACTAGAACAAAAATTTACGCATCTTGGTTTTTCAAAAGTTGTGAAAGTAAACATAAGGTAGTCACTAAATGGTTTGTTTTTCCAGTAACAGTACTATACTAAACATAAATACAAGACTATACATAAATGAAAGAACCCTTGCTGTACCACAGAATTATACACGATCTATAAAATTAGTACCATATAGCATTCAAAATTACATAATAACTAAGAACAAGGAAATAAGGGAAGCCATATTATTCAAGTACAGTATGAAACTTCCCTTATAAAGTAATCTATTTCACTCATAACTAACACTTTCTCTTTCCCACACTGGCTGTAAAAGCTTTATCTTAAAAAACCAGCGTTAAATGTAATGAAACGCCATTTTTTGGGCTAGTCCCGGAGGCTCCCTGGCTCCTAGGCTGAATGGATATGGATAACTTTCTGGCATCAGTCAATGTGCACGGAGTTCTTGCCTACCGGGGACCATGAGCCAGAACCTGGCCCCCTCAAGAAAAATCCTAAGAGCAATGGCCTATAGAAACCCCCATGAGGGTGGGAGCATTCTATGTCTGCCATCAACTGGATCTGGCATCCAGAAAGATAGGCACCCCAAATGCCAGCAAAAGAGGTTTTGAACTTGTTGCATAAAAAATTTTTTTTTTACCCCCAACGTAAGTACAGTGCACCCAAAATCATGTCATTTAAAACCCCCAATTATACGACTTCATAAATTCCCCTTAAAAAATCATTACTGTACTTCTACATTTTCCTTTACTGAACAGCATGTGCTATTCATTTTAAAAGCAAACAAAACAGCCAACACTGCCAGGCAATGCAACTTTCATTGTTATATAGTTGTGTATATGAAAACATTTGAATCCTGCATCAGAATTTCAAACATTTTCACTTGGTAATGCTTGCAGATCGAAGGTTCTATTATGTATGCATCATTACACTTCTTTAATATAAGTGCTCCCATGATGAACTTAACTGATGGCTTTTATCAAAATTTAAAGCAAATGGAGAATTTTAACCTTATCTCTGGCATGAATATTAGGACTCGACCAATGCAGGCCTTTAGTTTTAATACCATACAAGACATATAAAAGAAATTAAGAGTTCATTAGTGTCAAAAAAATTTAGGTTTCTCTATCTTGTATTATGTTATCATAGTGGCAACTTGTATTGGTGTGATGACTATTTACATGGAGACAACATGTTTGGGACTATGGTAATTCGATGTCAAATGTTTGTGACCTCCGCTTTTCATGTCATGATTCGCTCAAAATGTTGTTATTTTAACCCTCAAACCGCGCATATCATATATAAATGATTTCGTGTCTAGCGCTATAATTTAAACTCCCCGCCTGGGATAGGGGCAGCTATAGTACAGCCACGACCGATAGTTGCCAGATGCCACCTAGAAAAAAAATCCAGGCGAACATTCTTGGGTGTTACAGCGTCAGTATTGAGCAAGCCACCAAGGCTGGCGCACGCAGCACGAGCTCACAGCACCGCTGTTCAGCTTGTGACCACAGCATCGCCTACAAATACCATAATATATATGATACTGCTATTATTTAGCAGTGATAGTATTACTGAAGCCCCCTGACTGTGATAAAACTGACCAGGATTCTGATAATAGCAGGATTGTGGTGATATTTAGCGCTGTGCTCCATGGAGGGAGGCGTAAGGCTGTGTGAGGGAGGGTTGTGGCGTCGTCTTCTGACTGTGTGTGGCCACCATTTATTGACTGCACTCACCATACCAGCTTAGTGGTTCGATATGGTGAACACAAATGTAGATACTTATATATAACGTGTGTATAGTGTGAGATAACAGCGAGAGGAGTAGGTTGGGAGCCGCCATTTTGGTGAGGGAAGAGCATCGTCTGCACGTCTTGGCATGGTGCTTACTGATGGCTACTATGGTCTTTGGGCACCATACCAGCTTATTTGTTCAGGTATGGTGAATAAAACAGGTAGATACTTATATATAATATGTGTATATAGCGTAATAACACCACAAACAATATTGTTGAAGGACAAATATTAGTGCGTCTGGCCTTGAGGGCGGCCGCCGATCAGCTGACTGTGTGAGTAGCTACGTCTTTGTGGCCTTTACTCACCATACAAGCTTAGATGTACAGTTATGGTGAACAAAACATGTAAATACGTATATATAACGTCTGTGTAGAGTGAATAAATACAGAAAGAGTATTGTAGGAGGTGAATGAGGGTGAGTGAGGCGGTGTTGAGGGAGGGAGTGGCAGTGAGTGGCTCGCTGGTGTTTGGCGGTCACTCCTCGTTGCTTTTTGACTCACAAGACCAACTTAGTAGTTCGTTATGGTGTACAAAACATGCAAATACTTATATATAACCTGTGTATATAGTGTAACAACAGCAAAACTATTTGTTTATTGGTTTATGAACATAATAATTGAATCACTAATATGCACACCATAATTTTGAGTACAGCGATGGTTCACACATTTTATAATATAAATATACCACAATTCACTGTATGGAATAATATTACTGCAAAAAAACTAAGAAAAAATCAGAGACATTGAAATAATTAGGTAATAATATATTTGTGGCAACTGCCGTCTGACAGCTCGGGCGGAGTAGACCTCATCTGGCGAAGGCTCTGCCAACGCCCCTTTTTGCCACACTTCCCTACCCTATTGCGGCTAAAATATGCCACCTACGATTTTTTTGTTATTTTTTCCGTGATCAGGGAACAAAAATGAACACTTCTATAAGACGAAAGAATTTTTTGGAATTTTTTTTTTTGTTGCGCCTGTGGGTGTGAATTTCATTTGGGCCCCTAGCGGTTTGAGGGTTAAGGATGTAAGCAAAATTTGCATCTTATAATAGGAAAAATATGGTAGTGTTTAAAATTGCAAATAAAATTTTTTGTGTTCAAAATTGCAAATAAAAATTGCAGTTTGAGTTTTACCACTCGGTTGCTCCCTTTAAGCAAGGTCCCGCCTGTTTCCATGGACCATGTCCAGCCAGGGAAGGTCAACATGGCTAACCGTTGCAACAGGGATCTTATTGTCCTTGTCAGGCGATACTGATGGAGATTGCAGAATACTCACCCCCAGCTCAAAATAATATAAAAGAAGCATCATTAAACTACATTTGAAGCCATTCAAAGCACTACTTGGCATCAAACAGACTGCCAAGAAGCAATTACTAATTGGTCTACCAAGCCACTACCTCAGTCACTAAATAGCAGCACCTACTTGTTTACAAGTTATCCTGACACCCCTCACAATAATCCAACTGTTCCTAAAGCACACTTCACATTGGTAAAATATTCCAGATATGTGACTTCTGTACTTTGAAACACTATTTTACATTTACTGTCGAAGGTTCACACTATTTGTAGATGCTTCTGTGTGTGTATTCAGGGACACGCACACACTAGATTCAGAAACCAAGTTTCCAGAGTTAACTTCAATGTCCTGATTTGGTTAGTGTTAGCACTTTGGCATTTGCACTAGGTATGATTATTGGAGAGAAAGTTTGGTAGCCACATCATCCAATTTTGAGGTCGTGATCCTTTCTGCTACAGGGGTGTCTATGTCCATCCTTGTTTTAAGGTGAACAGACTTGGGTAAAGGTAGAGTGTACCAAGAATGTGTGTGTAGGACCAAATCTTTTCTTTATACTGCAATCTAAAGTGAAGTTCCTGGCACCTAGTACTGCATTTACTCATAAGTTAGCCTTGGCAATTCATTAGAGGAGCTGGTACACAGTAATTCTACATGGTACAGGATTTAAAATGTGCTGTATATATATACTGGTATACACAGTGGCTCCTGGGTTGACGACTGCCCCATAGGTTATCTTGAGGTTATCTTGAGATGATTTCGGGGCTTAGTGTCCCCGTGGCCCAGTCCTCGACCAGGCCTCCACCCCCAGGAAGCGGCCCGTGACAGCTGACTAACTCCCAGGTACCTATTTACTGCTAGGTAACAGGAGCATCAGGATGAAAAACTCTGCCCATCGTTTCTCGCCGGGATCGAACCCGGGACCACAGGATCACGCGTCCAGTGCTCTGTCCGCTCAGTCACCAACCCCAGAAGACAATTTTTTTGGAACACGACAGTTTACTTAGAACACGATGTCTGTTCGTACACTCATGGGTCGAATGAGCACATGGCGCTGGGGGCGAGGGGTGAAGCAAACTCAGTTTGTTTATGAGTCAATCGCACATAGTGACAAATGTGGCTGTGCCTTGAATTCTTTGTGAAGAATTTCATTGTCTGCTTTTTTGCTATTTTTAACAAAAAATTACTTATTATATATCATGCCATGGGATACCAAGATAGATGGTAAGAGGACTGGATGGATGGTGAAGGGACTGAATGGATGGATGGATGGTGAAGGGGGACTGGATGGATGGTGGGGTGACTGGATTGATGGAGGGGGAACTGGATGGACGGATGGTGGGGAAACTAGATGGACGGATATAAGGTAGAGTACCACTGTATATTTTTTTTTTATGCCAACAGTTATCCATGCTGCCTCCGACATTCCCTTTGCAGGATAAAAGGCAGACACTGAACCCTAATTTTGACAGTCTGTTTATGAAGTGGCTTGCTTCTTTTAGTACTGGTCTGGAGTAAGAGTTTGCTCCTTGGCAGGACATGGCAGCTAGCCCAAACAGTACTTTTTGGAGGTGGTGGAGGTTTGGAAGAGAGGTGTTTAGTGATGAGGCAGTCTGGTTTCCATTTGGCTATTACAGTCAGTCATCTAAGTCATGCACCCCTTTATCTCCACAGATCCTGAATAGAGTACAGATGAAGGTGGCCAAATGCAGTATAGAGAAGGTTTTCAGTCATAATTGTGGCCACGTAAGAGGGAATTCTAGCAAAAAGAGTGAACTCTTGTATGTAACAGAATACAGAATTGTATTCCTGCAGAGGTACATGATGAGGGAGGACAGAATCATAGCAGCAGATGCATGGAAGAGGTTCCAGAGAGAAAGAAAGAAAGAACAGGGCAACCAGTCTCATACTTGTTAATTCCAGAGGGAGAGAAGAAAACTTCCCCAGCAGGTCAGCAACTCCAGAGAGAAGTGCAACACATGCCTAAACCAGGATTTTTCAAACTGTGGGTCCTGACCAATTAGTGGGATCATAAAATGAGAAAAAAAAGCAATTAGAGCAACAATTTTATAAGCAATTCCAGGTGAAAGGTGCTTAATTGTTGCATCTTAGTAGTTCATTTACAATGAAGAAAATTTGAGAAATTAAATTTGTCATCATTTTGAATTAAGGTTAAAGAAGAATTTCCATTTTTTATGTAAAGAGCCAACAGAGTGTATTACAGAGAGCAACCAAGATAATCCAACTAAGCATGAACTTGGAACCTGCCAATATTATGCATGGGGGTGTATATATATGTGCAGTCAAGAAGAACTAATGAAACATGCAAATATAATAATTCGAGAAATTACAGAAATATCCTAAAAACAATTACACATCACTGATAATTGCAAATATTTCCACTCAAAGCTGTGTAAAAATTCACTAACCAAGAAGGAATGTTTTAACAATGATTGCCCAGCTTTATATATAAAAGGAACAAACTGAAAATCAAAAGAATGCCATTATGAATACAGCAACAACCATACAAACTAGGGAGATTATTTAGTAAGAGAAAGGTCAAGAAATGTCCAAGCTCTACCATCAACTTGGTCAAATGCTAGACAGGACACAGAATATGAAGCACCCTTATAGAAACTACAAATATTAACACCAAGTAAAATACTCAGCACTCCCACAATTATGATAACACCTTTCCTATTTGCCAACATACAAGGTATTAAAACATGCAAAAGAAAGTCCACTTTATAACTGGCCTCTTAAATGAGGCAAATGCAAAGTTTGCAGCATTAACAAACTGGCACTAAGAACTATTATGACAATGAGATATGGATACCAGAGTACAATCTTTTCAGATGTGACAGGAAACACAGGCTACAGGGTGGGGTCAGCCTGTACATCAAAGATGCCCTCAACTGCACTGCTCTTCTAAACACCACAAATGATATAGAGGAGGCTCTGTTAATCAAAATAGAAATGATAAATGTGGTGATTGTCCTTGTATATAAATTCTCAGATGGAAATCTTCAGCAGTTTAAACACCAACTTATGAAAATAGAATACTGCTTAGAAAACCCCACAAACCATGCCCTGAACATTACCTTGCTTGGTGATTTTAACTTGCATCTAAAATGGAAAATGTGGCAAATGCTGTTATACCAGAGAGACTCCCAGGAAGTAGTCTAAATGAACAGTCACACACAAATGACCTTCTGAAGATAAGTGACATATGCTTTAAACCAGCAAATAGTAGAGCTAGAAAAGAAAACACACTAGATCTTATTTTTACAAACAACAATGAACCGATTAGGGACATAATGATTACAAATTCACGTTACTCGGATCACAGCCTAATCGAAGTTCAGACAAGCATGGGCAGTCAGTCTCAAATCCAAGTGGGGGAGAAGTCAGAAAATTCAATGTCAATCAACAAACCGATTAACTGGGAACGAATAAACCAAGACCTCACAGAAATATGCTGTGAAGAACAGATAGATAATGCAAATTTAAACCAGTGCTTCAGGAAACTAGGCACAGCAGCACTCAAAATTTGTGAGAACATATCACAGAACATCTCAAATGCTTTGTCCTATCCCAGCAATGACAAGGAAGACTATGCAGAGAAATACACACAGTCGAGCTCAAGCTGCAAGAATCATAAAATCCATGAGAAAAAAAAAAAAAAAAAAAAAAAAAAAAAAAAAAGAGATCAAAAGGCCACAAGTGCAAGAGAGGAATCCAAAATACTACTACTGTGCAAAATCTAGAAGAAACACTACAGTACATCTAGCATTGGGCCCTTGTGCAAGGGGTGATGGAACTTTCATAGATGATAAAAGAAATTAATGAAATACTGAGGCTACAATATGACTGTTTTCAGTGAACCCCTGAACACACTGAATATCAAAGATCCAAATGAATTATTTATGAATTTGACACCAGCATCGAATGAAATATGAGATGTCACCCTAACCCCACTGGACTTTGAAGCAGCCATAGGCAGCATACTCATATACTCTGCACCAGGCTCAGACTCCTGGATTCTATATTCACCAAGAAGTACAAAACTCCACTATCACAATCTCAAATCATCTTTTGGAGGAGCCTAGATACTGGTGTTATCCTTGACATACTTAAAACAGCAGAGATCTTGCCACTTAACAAAGGAGGTAGTAAAGCAGATGGAAAAAATTATAAACCAACAGCCCCTGACATCACACATCAAAGTCTATGAAAAGAGTGCCAAGACGTAAGATCACATATCACAGAGTCAAGTCAAACACCACGGGTTCAGAACGGGGCGCTATTGCCTTTCACAGTCGCTAGATCACTGACATGGCCATGGATGCCATGGAAGATAAGCAAAACGCAAATAGAATACACAGACTTTACGAAAGCTTTCAACAATTGACTATGGTGTTATTGCCCACAAAATGCATTCAAAAGGAATTACTGCCAAAGTAGAGAGATGGAAATAAGCAGGAATGCATCAAGATAATCTCTCCCACTGCAACCCCCCCTCCCCTTGCCCTTCATACCCAGGTCATGTTGAATTCTCTATCAGAAGAATCCAATAGAATCCAAGAGAGGGGCAATAGGCCTTAAATTACAGATCAGTAGTAGTGATATACATTCCCTGCAAAATACTGGAAAATAGAAGCAGTCACAGAACATCTGTACAGGACAAATTTTTATCAAATAAAAGACTAAAGTGAGAGACAGTTTGTTGGATATTAGACTTGCTCCTTTGACATCTGTAATTTTGTTGTTAGAAAACAAACCATCTTGTTATTTAAACAATTTACCTAATCTATACGTTTTATCTTGTACATTTTAAGCATTATTACAAGGCACATCAGCTAAATGCATGAATTATAGAACTTGATATCTGAGTGAGGTTGTAGCAGTACTTTTCCAAGTTCACTTTAAAAAATATCCCAAAAGGTAGTATTATTTTTTTATCACCATTTTACAATTTATTTGAAGAAAATGTTCAATTTTATCATATTATATTATCAATAAACTAGTTACTGTCCCTCCCAAAGCCTCAAGTAGTCATGATTTAATGGCCATGTGTTAAAACCCCTCAAGTTCAACACAATTACCAAGCTGACACAGCAGGAAAAGATTGTGTAAAGAATAATTGCTGCCTCCTCCACCATATACTGAAGAGAAAATCGAAGGAAGGAGAGTGAAACAGTTGTTAATATAACGGAGGAGGGGAGGGGGGGGGGAGGGAGAAAAGTTATTCTGTAGAAGGTACTAAATGCACAATGGAAAGGATTCATGAGAGTAATATTCCCAAATTCACTTCCCCACAGTGCTTTACTAATTAAAAAAAACTATACAGTATATATATAAAATTATACAACAGACTAATACATCCAAATAGTTGGATATACCTAATCACTTTATAACTACATCAAGGGACTGAAAATATAGTTGTGACTGTAAAACCACTTGTGGAGAAGGTTTACACAAAAATTTACCAAAGATGAGAAGCATCTAGCAAGAGTTCATACCCTGAAAGTGAAATGTGAGAACAGAGAAAGATTACTGAAGAAATAAAATAATTAGGTAGTCTGTAGTCACATTTCTCTTGGTACAAATAATTCTGCCATAGCTCATTACATTTTACAATCACCTCACAATAGAGCTTCCTTTCTAAGTAAGTACTGTGTAACAAATTATTTACTACTCTTAAAGCATCCTTGAACCTACACCCGCAAATGTAACTACAATGTCTTGCCTATTTCACAACTAATCTAATAAGAACATAAATAACTGACAAAGTGCACAAGGTTTCAGCAAGTCAATAATGGGCAGAAGATAGCAACATGTTGCCAGAAACACCAGTCAAGGGCACACCTTCAGTGCAATTTTTGCTTGGAAGGAGGAGTCTCTATGGTACAACGAAAGCAAAATAAACTAATCAATTTATATTCAAACTTTCGACCAGGCTTTTGACTTGTGTACTGTAATTTTTCTTATTACAATTGTCAACAAAAATTATACTCCCTGGTATGATGATTATTCATGAAATTTTCAAGTTTCTAAACAAACTCAAAAATTCTTTAGTGCTAAAAACAATAATTAAATGTTAGCACAGAATTGTTAAAGAAGTATAGCATCAATATTTTGTTAAAAACTTACAGAATCAAATTGTATTTCTGAAAGTCAAATATTTCTTGACACATTTTTAATGTCACTTCACAATACAGTACTTACATATACATATTATCTAAATCAAAAGCACATCACACGAGTTAATAGCTTACACTCAAATCATTTTGTGCTGTCCCATTACATCATGCAAATATCAGCAACATGCTTGTGTTCCACCAATCTGTTAGTAAGCTGCCAGTATTACACAACTAATAAATCTGAGGATTAATTAGTGTTTCAGTTAAAGGTGACGAGTTTTGCAGCATTTATAGAAGAACGCCACATTTCACATTGATAATGTGTGAAGGCAACTTGTACAAAGCCTGCGTGTGGCCGTGCGTGGCCCCACTGGCCCTCACCTGGGAATTGGAGAGCCTTCTAGTGTACTGGTTGTTCTCTATAGAAGAGTTATATTCCTGTTGCCTCAGATGGCTTCCTCTTCTCCCGCCATAATGTTGCTGCAATGTATCCTCTGCCTGTGTACCATTTAACCGTCTACTGTGGCAGCGTTTACCTCCATCACCGACCACCACCCATTAGTCAAACAAACATTTTACTGTATTAATTAGCTCCTTGTATAAATAAGCTATTTATTTCAGCGTTTGCCCATGGAGCAAGATGTTTTCCTATGATGTTATCACTTCGAATAAAAAGCCTGTTAAATGTGGTTAAGGTAACATCTAAACATTTTTAACATAAATCATGTAATGTGTCAACTGCAGTCATTCAAAAACAAATTAAATTAAACATGTTACACTATATTAGTGCCTGCTATTTGCCTACCATGATAAAGTACAGAAGTGGATCCCATGCCTATTAAAGATTAAGTACACTATAGATGTAATCCACAAGCTCAATGATCGACTAATAAGGTAAAATCACTCGCCTGGCATTAAAATACAAACATTTATGAAAAACACAGTTGTAATTCACCTTGTGTCATGTTCTACTTATAAAGTTCATTTATCATTCAGCAAGTTAAAAATTCCCCCTATTAATGTTTTTTGTTTAAATCTTTTGTAATATTATGCAATGTTGAAATGATATAGCAAAGAATTCAGCATAATTTCTTTATGTACATCAATAATGTATTTGTATACAAATGTAAAGGTCGCTACAAAACCAGAGAGCCAATCCAATTATATAACTCGTCCAGTTAGTAACAGATAGAGAAAACCGCAAAAGACTAATTGCAAGATTAAAGAAGTGTCTCCATAGTGCATTCAAAGAAATATAATAAAGATCTAATAACCTAAACCAAAATTATTGTAGTAGAGTAACTAGTCAAACTTATAACATGTCAATAACACGTCACTCATAAATACATTAAATTTTAGCTCTCATACATTAAAATTTAAATTTCCTTAAAAAAAAAAAAATTAAATATCTGCAATACAGTACTGCAATATTACACACAAATACAGTATGGAGAAAGTAGTAAATGTAACTTTAAATCTGTTGTATTTAAAAGAACAAAATTATACAGTATAGGGCAGTATGTTGATTATACTGTAACACAGTAAGACTAGGAAGGGCTTTGCTGTACTGATCATGGAACAAACCTGACCCTCACATTCTAATTACTAGTACCTAAATTAAGGTTAAATAAGTAACTTTGTAAGTAAACCCATGACAGACAAGCTGAAGAGTACCTGTGGTGAGGAGCCTTGATTGGAGTGTTGCGACATTTGTGAAATTCTACGTTCAGGATCAGAATAATGGTTGTAGCCCGCTCGGCGGGTGACAGGTTGTTCGTCATCTTCATAGACAGCCTGAGAGTATTCATAGTCATCATCCAAGGACTGCCCATAGACATCCTGTAACATTACAGTAATCTAAAAACAGGCCAAACCCAAACTTGTAAGGATTGATTCATGATTTACATTTCTTGCCGTAAAAAATATCTATTAAATGTTTAGCATTTCAAAATGGCTTGACTTTATTACATGACAATTTTAACATAGGCAAATGATAAATACTGCATCTCAGTGCGTATTAAAACTACTGATTGGCAGTACCAGAAATGTATGAATCAAAAGATACACAAGTCTGAGAAGAGCTACATGTTTGGAAAACTACTGCTTAAAAGTGCATGTTAAAAGCTATTACTACGTGTGCTCCGAAGACATGCACTTGCAAGTGAAAATCACTGCTCTCGATTAACAAAACAGAAGTACAGTATCACATTTTTAAACACCACCACACTTAGATGCAAACATCAAATAAAGAGAAATTGTCAAGAACAAGACAAATTTAAGTTAAGCCATGCAAATAAGTACTGTAAACAAATTCAGTTTACAGAGCAAGACTATCCAAGAGAAAATTATATTATAAACCTCATTTAATACTGCAACAGCCATGCATCATCATTTTTCCATCAGTTTTCCAATAACAAATACTGTAATTCCATACAAATAAATGCATGAACAGTACTCTGTTTCAAACAGAAGAGTAGATAATGTTGATCATAACAAGACAATACTGCAAGGTTTTGGGAGGAATTCTTTAATGGTATAGATTAAAATACTGTACCACAACAATCATTACAGTTAAATGTCTTAAATATATGTAATTCTGTGTATAAAACAAAACACACACAAATCTATACACCAGTTGATTGACAGTTGAGAGGCGGGACCAAAGAGCCAAAGCTCAATCACCACACGCACAACTAGGTGACTATGTACACACACACTGTGTGCTCTTCAAATCGATTTAGATAAAATAAGTGCTTGGAGCGTCAAGTGGCAAATGGAATTCAATGTGAACAAATGCCTTCTTATGGAATGTGGAATCGGAGAAAATAGACCTCACACAACTGGCAAATTATGTGGAAAGGCATTACAGAACTCTAATAAAGAACGAGACCTAAGGGTGGTTTTGGATTGTAAACTGTCGCTAGAGGAACACAAACATTGCGAGAGAAACGAATGTGTCACGTTCCAACTTCAGACTGGCTTTTAATTATATGGATGATGAAATACTAAAGAAACTGTTCACGACTTTTGTGAGATAAAAATTGGAATATGCAGCAGTTGTATGGTGGCCAAATCTCAAGAAGCATATAAATAATCTGAAAAAGGTGTAACAACATGCTACAAAATGGCTTCTGGAACTGAAAAACAAGAGTTACAAGAAGAGACTAGGTGTTAAACATGCTAACACTAGATGATAGAAGAAAAAGAGGTGATATGATCACCACTTACAAAATACTAACAGGAATCGACCAAATTAACAGAGGAATTCCTGAAACCAGCAACATCACTAACAAGACGACACAGATTCAAGCTAAGGAAACAAAGGTGGCAAAAAAATATTAGAAAGTTTTCCTTTGCAAACAGTGGTAGACGGTTGAAACAAGCAAAGCAAGAAGGTGGAGGAGGCCAAAACCGTCAGTAGTTTCAAAGTGTTATACGACAAAGAGTACTGGGAAGACGGGACACCACGAGCATAGCTCATCCTGTAACTACACTTAGGAAATTACACACCACACACCAAAGCTGAGCATTCCATTTCCATTGATTTTTCAGGCATCTTAATGAACAGGAATCTTAGCAGATATGTGGAAAAAGACAAAAATAGTTCCAATCAACAAAAATGGTAGCAGAGAAGAGCCTTTAAATTGTCAGTATCAATGACATGTGTGGTAGTCAAAACACTTGGAAAAATAGTTAAAACCAAATGGGTAGAATACCAACAATAACAGGCAGTATGGCTTTCAAACAGGAAGATACTGTGTACCACATCTACTTCATTTGTTATGGTAAGAGCCACAGAGTTGTTCTGGAAACAAACATATTGGAGGGATGACAGGCAGACTGCTGACATCGATGACAATTTTTCAGACAAAGATGAAGGCGCTAATCAGAAGAAATGTATCAGACTAGAGAAGTATGACTAGTGAAGGACTAGAGGATTCAGTTCTTGCACCAGTAATGTTCATTGTCTATATAAATGATCTACTAGAAGGAATACAGAAGGGTATGAACATGTTTGCTGATGATGCTTAGCTGCTAAGGAAGATAGGAGACTTTGACAACAGTTTTGTCCTTCATGATGAGCTGGACAAAAGTGTATGGTGTATGGAGCACCACTTGGCAAATGGAATTCAATGTGAATAAATTCCATGATATGGAATAAGATAAAATACACCATACACAATCTAAAAATTATGTGGAAAGGCATAAAGAACTTTGACAAAGATCTAGGGATGGTTCTGAATAGTAGACAGTCATCAGAGGACCATATAAAGAACATTGTGTGAGGAGCATATGATATGCTTTCCAACTTCACATTCAATTTTAAATACATGAATTGTGAAATATTAAGGACTGTTCATGGCAAACAGTCATGAACAGTCATGAACAAAACATATCCCTGTTTTGAGACCAAAACAGGGATATGCAGTGGTTGTCTGGTGCCCACATCTCAAGAAGCACATAAATAAACTGGAAAAGGTGCAAAGACATGCTATGAAATTGGCTTCTGGAACTGAAAAACAAAAGCTTTGAGGAGAGGTTAGTGCTGTCAAATATGCCAAAGCTAGATACAGTACCTAGATACTGGATTTTAAAATAAACAAAGCATATATGGTTTAAATGTGGACATTCAGCATTATTTTGAAAGTATGGTACTGTATTTACATCAATATTAGGCAAACTGTATATGAATTACAGCTCTTTTCATACCGTTTCCTCCCATTGTAGAGGAGCAAAAAAAATTGGACACCTGCTGAACGACTGTTTTTTGGCCAGTAGTGTCCCATTGCAATGTTAGTGTATGCACAGGAAGGAAAATGTACCGAGTTGATTCTAGGCATATGTATTCGGAGTCTGTTGCTGTTATAACATGACGACCATTTGTGTGTCAATGCCAGTAAAGCAGATCATGAGGACTGTCAAAATAAACTGTTTGGTAGATTGTTAAAAAACAATAATGCACTGGTAAGTTCAGCAACAGCAAAAGATCTGGTAAACTATAGAAGACCATTGTAGTGGATGACTTAAAATATTTTCAATTGTGAACAAAGACCACAACTGCCAAGTGTTCTTTATAAAGAACACTCACCAGGATGTAGATACAGATGTGTCAAAGACTACCATAAAGAGAAGACAACACAGGCATAACCTCAGATGGTTTACCACATGGAACACCTGAAGGCCAGAAAACACAGAGGTGGTGGTTTCAAGATGGAGTAATGTGACAAGTAGGGCCCCACAAGTCTCTGTCCTAGAACCACTGCTGTTCTTAATTTATGTGAATAACACTCCCAAGGGAGTGAGTTCATACATGTAAAAGTTTGCAGACAATGAAAAGCTGACAAGAAATGTAAAACCCAGAGGTAAACTGTAAGAAGTTACAGGAGGATCTTGACAAACCCCAGTAGCAGTCAAACAAATGGTTGTTGGAACTTAATCCAAACAAATTAAAGGTAATGAGAAAGATGGGAAAAAGAAAGATGAGACCAGAAGGCACCTACACCATAAGGGGAAGGCAATGGCAGGAATCAGAAGAAAACTATTTTGGAGTGTATATAATTCCAACACTAACACTGGAAGCACACAAACAGGATAACATCGCCAGCATTGTGGAACTCTGGCAAATGTAAAAACATCATTTAGAAACTTAAATCAGGACTACCTTCAAGGCAATGTACACAACATTTGTTAAGACTATTTGAATATATTGGACTATATTGGTTAAGACATATTGGAATATGCATCTCATGGAGCATGAAACCAAAAGTACAAAGTTTTGCAACAAGATTGGTGCATGAGCTAAGAGTGTTAAGCTACAAAGATAGGCTAATGGAAGTAAATCTCGCAATCTTAGAGGACAGAAAGAATAGAGGTGGTATGATCACAACATACAAGATACTGAGGGGGAATAGATAAAGTGGACAAGCATAGCCTAAAAGTAAGAATAAGCAGGACCAGAGAACACAGATGGAAACTGGGAATGCAAATGAGCCAAATGAATATAAGTTAATACTCATACCCTGTGCAGGTAGTCTACAAGTGTAATACACAAAGAAGTTGTGGAAGCCACATCCATCCACAACTTTAAGGGCAGATTTAACAAAGAATTTGAGCATCAAAATAGCTCAATTGTAATGCAACATGTACAACAAGGCAAGTAAGTGGGGTATAATGAGCTAGACCTCACTCCCCTGTAAGCACTGTTAGGCAAGTATTATTAGATCAGTGCAGGATGCAAACCACTTGTCAACCACTTGTCGGCCTCAACAACAGAATAGCCAGGTTACAGTTTGCTACAAAGTACATAAAAAAACTGTAGAATTCTGAAATAAAGTCTTACAGGCAGACGAGATGAAGGTTAACATGTATCAGTGATGAAAAGAGGAAAGCTTGGAGAAAGAAAGTGCTCATGATTCAAAGCATACCACCTCACCTGTGAAACATAGTGGAGGTAATATTATGGGAAGCATGTATGGCTGCCACTGACACTACCTCACTTGTCTTTATTGATGTTGCAACAGCTGATAGCAGCAGCAGGATGACCTTCTGAAGTGTACAGAAACATTGTATCTGCTCAGATCTGACCAAATATCTCAAAACTCACCGGATGGCACTTCACCGTGCAGCAAGACATTGAAAGCAAACAATGGTAAAACAGCCAAGGCATTTTTCACAGTTGAGTTTTCTTGACTAACCAAGTCAGTAGACCATCCACAATCCAATTGCACACGAGTTACAGAGGCTGAAGAGAAGACCGATGGCAAAAAGCTTCCAAAAAGAAACAAAGTGAAGATGGCTGCAGTACAGGCCTGGCAAAGCATCACCAGAGAAGATAACCA